TTATACATGCATATTATTTACATTTATTACTATCGAGGAGATTGATCAGTGTTAATTTATGAAACCATTCTGAAACTCAGTTGACAAAATTTTAAAGAATTTTATAGTATCTATTTTAAATACCTCAGAATCAACTAACTTAATTTTTGTTTTTGTTTTTTTCGAATTAACTAGCAATCTATCTTGTTGCATACGCTTATCCCTATCATTCAGTTATTTTTATCTTGAAAGTATTTGTACTCCAGTTTCTATATATTTTTTTCTCTCAGTAAGAAACGTAATACTGACTAAAATAGGAAAAACAACTGAATTTTTTTTTCCAGTTAGACAGATACTACATAAAAATATCATTCTATCGTGTTGAGTTTTAATCAAATGATAACTGTTGCTTATTTGTTAAGAGAAAAAAGGAGGGGGGAGAGGGAGGAGGAAATACTAAACACCTTTTTTTTTACTTTCTCAACAATTTAGTATCTATAACTTGACAGTTAAACACTACTTGTAGAAAGTAATTTATATTTACATTTTAATTAAAAAAAAATATGAAAAATGGCAATTCATATTATGTTTGATGGAATTAACTATTTCGTTATAGGAATAGTTAACGTAAACACGAATTAAATTAAATATACCTGTCATAATACTAGAAGAAGAAGAAGAAGAAAAAAGGATGGAAGAATATTTTCATTAATTAAATGTTCAATTATAAGCTTTCTAGATTTAGTTATTTCTTAGTGTATTTTTTGTACAGGTTAAAAATGATTATTTCATTTATCGGTTACATTAATAATTAAAGAAGAAATCGATAACAGAAATAGTTTGTATATATTATTCATATATAATGAAATGAATTGATTCAACAATTATATTCTGACAAAATAATTAGATCCTGAGTTTGAATCTCACAAGGTGGTGTCATAGATATGCACTGCTCCATACTAGAACAAAATGGACGTCTAATACTTCCAGGTTTTCCATGATTTTCTATAGCTTCAGTTAACTCATGAATTCAACTATTTAATTAGTTATGCTAGAATAACTTGAAAATTACAGGGAGAAATTTATGAATAACACTGTCTATCAATCATTTAATCAGAAATTTCCTAAATTTCCTTTTATACTTTACTTGAAAGTTAAGTATTCACAAGGAAGAATTAATTGTCCAGTTGTAAAGCGGAAATGATGCCATATGAATCGTGAGATACTTATTTCGATATGAACTGTTAGAAAAAGTCAATTGATAAAAACCAGTTATTTTTTGTTTATTCAAAGTGGATATTTAAGCAAATTATATTTTTTCACAACACATTGAGTAATGTGCGCTAGTTTTACCTTCACATATAGTCTCTTACTATAATACCGTAGACATTTTTTCAGGCTTACCAATATATACTAATACAGATGAGCTTCTGTACAGAAATATCATAGTACTGAAATCAAAATCTACAATAAACTTTTAAGCTCTTATTAATCATATCCAAACATATTTTGAGATCAAATTCCTTGTGTAAACCATCTTTTTGCTTGTTGATAAGGAAAGAATATATAATTTCATGGTCACTACTCGATCTTTTTATGATTACCTTGTCGATAAATCTGTTACATCTCTCAGTAGCTTAGAATTACCCTTCAGATAAAATTAAGTATTTAGAACTATGTAAAGTTGTTAGGAACTAACTAATGTAATTACCGCAAACATCCCACAAACTAAATGATTTTGAAATATCGTAAACTATACCAAGAATACGATCAGTAAAAAGAACACACGTTTTATTGCGAACAAAACTTTACAGTGACTGAATATCTAAAAAATGTTATTTAACACTTAAAAGATCTTAACCGACCACATGGTTTATATAAAAAAATTCCATTCATTCTCATCCTTTATTTTCAAACATTTTTCATAAGCAAAGTCAATTAATAAAATAACCGAAGTGCTTTGTAAGCAGAAATGGATTGTAGCTAGCTGTGAAATTCAGGACGCGCGTTTTGTCCTATTTGGGAACCGTCAGCCAGCTGTGCCGGAATTTTAAGAGTGATATTCTCTCGTGCGCTACAACCCAGTACCGTTCGCTTCAAATGCCATCACGTTATCCGCTTCGAGCCTCAGCGTGAACGTTAAATCTGAGACATCAGTATAGATGGCTGATGAGTCTTAAATAGAACAAAATGAGCGTCCTGAATTCCACTGCTTATTATGTTTGTGACTGAAGACTATATTGAGGTGATTCGCACAGGATGCATATGTACCCATAAGAGGCGGATTAATTATAGATCTAAATAACATTAAGAAGATTCAACCATTCAATACACTGAAATGTTTGCTTTTTAAGTAATCTTAGTTCAGGAAACATTTTTTTCAAATTAAAAAAAATAAATCACAAAATTTCATCAAACTCTAGATTAAAACAAAACAATTTTGAATGTTATGCTTCAAGTAATTTCAACAGTTTTACGTTTCAATAAGTTTAGTTATTCACGACTAAATAAATAACAAACCAGTACCCTTTGATCAGTTAGTGTAATTTATGATAAAAAAAGAGCTATGACAACAGTATATTTATTATTTTGTTGGGAAAAGAAACTTTCAAATTACAGAAGGTTTTAATCAACAATTGTCTTCAAATAGATTTAGTAGTTCTATGAGTTCTTGATAAATGAAAACGTAATAAGATGCAAAAGAAAAAACGAAACATCTGACAGTTGTTAGCTGCCTTAAAAAAATCATTACTGTCTCTTCATTTTATGAGATGAATAAAAATTCTTGTTTTTCATACTCAGAATTCTCAATGTTTTGTAGTTCGCCTGATGTTATTGAGAAACATATATCAACAGTGATATTTAATGATCGTTAATTGGTTAGAGTTGGTGATATGGATTTTGGCTTACTGATTCGAATATGTTGTGCTTGCCGAAATATGTGAAGTTTCTTGATTCGATTTTCCGTGGTATGATGAAGGCACAGAAAAAATGTGTTGACACACTTTGGTTCTCATTTTTTTCCTTTTTGCAGAGTTTCCATATAAATATAACATTGGTCATTATCTTTAGATAAATCGTAATTATCAAATTTTTCACAAAATATAATAACTGAACGTAGACAACGGTACAGAAGCTTAATTTTTTATATTTTAACTACTAAGAAACAGTGGTACTACACATTAGGGACTACTGAATTTTTTTCAAACAATGTAGAATGTATCAGTTGAATTCATGAGACGATCTAAGTTAGACCACTATTGAAAACCTGGAAGTACTGAACGGCCGTTACATTCCAGTATGAGACTCCGCTAACCCTGATTCTAATAATAATCATATGTACATTAGTGACTGGTTTCAAGATGGATTTCCTGAAATTCTAGTGGGAAGCCGTGGCCAGTGGAGTTCAGCCGTGTCTGTTGTGAGCCAGTTACTCACTGAAGACAACAGTGGAAGGTTGCAAAATATCGTGGATTGGTTGAATTTAGACATTAACACCTTTGGGTGCCGGCTGGATCAGTGGTCTAGAGGCTAAGCCTTCTTATACGAGTATAAAGGTCCTGAATACGAGTTCACTGTGCAGGATCGTGGATGCTCACTGTTGGGGAGTTTAATACTAGGACGAAACAGACATCCAATATTTTCAGGTCCTTAGTGGTTGTTTAGCTTAGATAAGCTCATAAATCCAATTGTTACAATACAACAATTTACGCACACCCCCGTTCTGACACTATAGACTGTGGTAACCAGACTAGCCGGATGAATTGAGAAACTTTTTTACAGTTTGAAATAAATAATCTAACGAACCATTCCAACAATGTGAATCATTTTTTAGACAGATATGTAAGATAAACACCTCCAATAACCTTATTTAAGACAAAGCGTAGTAAGAAAACTTATTCAGTCTGTTTATGGTTTGAATGTTCTACTATAGTTTGGTTTTGTATGTATTTCAATCATACATTACATAACTCTATCAAACTGATAATTCTGAGTCTATCAGTCTTATCAACTATGGTTTTACATTGTAATCAAGATTAGATTGAATTTCTACAATTTTAATTTTGTTTGCATATCCATAAAAATAGTTGACTAATTCATCCAAATCTTTAATTAAGTACATTTTATTATATTTTCACTATATCGAAAGAGATGTTAATCGAACGGGCAAAAGCCATCTACATGTTCCTTACAAATGTGTAGATACTTTTGTGCATGAAAACAAAACGATGATATTGCTATGATTTTATGTCCGGTTTTTATCAAGTGGTTTATCCACCAATCAAAATGCGATTTATACGAATCTTAGCACTATGCCAAACCAATGACGTTCGACCGGTATAAGCAGCCTGGCGTCCTTATTGGCCCGATGTCCGCCTAGCCCGTCTGCTTGAGTCCAGAACACAATCCAGCTTTCTGCAATATGAATTGAATCGTTTATTTCAGATATACTCGGTTTATATATCAACAAGACAGACCACAACGTACCATAAAATAGGAAATAACATTTGTACACAATAAAGCCAAAAAGTGACTGTGAACATGGGAGGCAGTAGTCGATAAACTAAACACAGCTTAAGAACCGTAAATCGTACAATAATAAATTATAGATAAAAATAAAGCTTATAATAAGCGGAATATAACTATACATAATCTAATTGTTGAATAGTTATACCGTAAGAATATATAATATTAGTCAATTAATATGTCTCAGAAGTTACTCGTCATTTAATCTTCACTCGAATATAACAGATATACTTGTGGTATTCCAATTTGTAAGCATTTCACTTTTCGACGTTTCACAACATATTCGAAGTTACTGTTTAAGAAATCCCATGGTATTTTTCTCATGTAAATGAACAGTTACTGAAGCGTTTGTGTCTAAGTATACATCATGCGCGTTGAGAAATTTGAATAGAACTGCATGATATTTTATCCAACCATAAACAAGCATATTTTCTCCATCTGATTTATATCTAAATGTACTGAAATATATAAATATTTTTTGTATTTCTTTTTAGTCAATCACATGGAAATGGACACCAAAGTAAGTCAAAACGCAATATATTTTGATATGAATTACCATTTACCTTTTATAACTTATCTAAAATATTTCAGTAAAACAAACATTATTAACTTTATACTTTTAGTTTAAATGTGCCATTATTTAGTGAAGATATTGATTTCATCAGTCATATTAATATGATGAAACTTTCAACATTTAATAATCATAATAACTGTGAATTGAATTACAAGGACTTTTATTTCTCATATAATTTTTTTTATTGTCTTATACTTTTATCATTTATTTTCAGTTAAGCAATTTTTTATGGTTTTTTCAGTTACTTACTTACGCCTGTTACTCCTAATGGAGTATAGGCCGCTAAACAGCATTCTCCAACCCACTCTTTCCTAGGCCTTCCTTTCTAGTTCCATCCAATTCTTGTTCATTTTTCTCATGTCTATTTCCATTTTCCGGCGTAATGTGATCTTTGGTCTTCCACTTCTCCTTTGGCCTTGAGAATTCCAAGAGAGGGCTTGTCTTGTGACGCAGTTGGGTGGTTTCCTCAATGTGTGTCCTATCCACTTCCAGCGCTTTTTCCTGATTTCTTCCTCCGCTGGGATCTATTTTGGTCTATCCCACAGTAGGTTGTTGTTAAAAGTACATAAACAATAATTTGTAATAATCGTTATTTACAACTAAGTAATATTTATTCATTTTGATAGTTTTCACGGTTATACACAATAAGTGTCAGTATTATTTCCATTCATCCTAATTTCGGTTTTAAATAATTTACTATTAATCCTATACTTTATCTGTTATGCAATACATACTGAGCTAGTGAATGATTTTCGTCACAGATTTAAATCACTTAAGGAACTGTAAAAGCTTGGAAATGAATAGTGTTTATTTTGTCATAGTATTAGATACTAAAGAGCCTATATGGCTTCAAGCTTCAAGTTTTCAGGCAATGACTAATCAGCATTAGTGGCTGGTAAATTTCAACTATGTCCAAGCTAAGTCGTATGCCCTGTAATTAAATAATTATCGCGTTATATTAAGAAACGATTGAAGTTAAAATTGTAAACTATTGAATTCTAATTCAGTTTTTATTGCACGTTGCATTCACCACAATGCAGAAAACAAAAATCTTTCGTTCAGTATTCAGTTAATGTTTACGTGCATTATTGATTTACTATGATAAAAATAGCTATGTAAAGTTTCCTTGATACTTTAATGGTTACCAATGACATCAGTCGACAACAAAAAATAATCTCGATGACACTTCACTCACTAAAATTTAAAAAATGGTTTTCTTCTATCATATTCAAGTAATTTTTTTCTTAATTCAATTATCCTATTCATCATTGAATATTTATATTCCATCGTTTAACAGTCTTTTGTTAACCACTTAACTATTCCAATTTTATCAGAAGGGGTTTTGTGGAGATTTTAGAAATTTTCACAGATTTAAATCATGAGTCAGTTGAAGCTAGACTACCATTGAAAACCTGGAAGCACTGGACGGCCGTTTAGTCCTAGTAGGTCCAGTAGGTCCTGGGTTCGAGCCCCGTGTGGTACGGGATCGTGGATGCGCACTGCTGAGGAGTCCCATACTAGGACGAAACGGCCGTCCAGTGCTTCCAGGTTTTCAATGGTGGTCTAGCTTCAACTGACTGATGATTTAAATCTATTCCAATTTTGTCTAATGAGACTGTTCACATTTTTTTATTTTGTTAGAAATAAATACGAGAATCAATTGTGAACAAAATGAATTTATACAAACAATGAATAAAATAAACTTTTGATTTGTTTATCTATTTAAAGGTATAATAATGATTAAACTTCCTAAATAATTTCTTCTCATTTTCAAAACAAAAATGTGTTCACATTGTTACATAATTATGCAATAACTACCAAAGTGGAGAGGGGATATGAATATTCTTTATACATTGTCAGACAATAATATAATTTTAATAGTTGATATCATGAGTCAATTGAAGTTAGACCGTTATGGAAAACCTGGAAGCACTGGACGAATGTTTCGTCCTAGTGTGAGATTCCTCAGCAGTGCGTATCCACGATTCAGCCTCGCGAGATTCAAACCTACAATCTTGTTCGTGAGCGCTTAACCACTGAACCACTGAGCCGGCCAGCATCCAACAGTGTTAATGTCTAACTCCAACCAATCCACGAAGTTGAGCGACACATCCACCATTGTCTTCAGTGAGTAATTATCTCACAACAGACCTGGTTGAACTCCATTGATCACTGCTTCTCATCAGAACTCCAGGAAATATCTCTTGAAGCCAGTCACTAGTGAGCACATGTTGATTCATGTAAGAAAGTGTTTTGTGGATATTGTAGTTATTTCAATGGTTGATATCATGAGCCAATTAAAGATAGACCAATATACAAAACCTAGAAGAACTGGATGCCCGTTTCGTCCTAATACCCTGTGTATAACCTCACTATTACTTACCCGGTGATCGCAGTAGACGCCATCAATATTTCTAAGGTATCTGTGGTCAAATACTAGTAGCTTACGAGTGTTTTCTACTCTTAATGGCCATGTTCCGCTGCCGTAAATGAAAACAGAACGAACTGCCGTGCAGTATACTCGTCCTTTTATTGATAGACGGGTATCTCGCATTCTACGCAGGTGACGTAAGTTGGCAAAAGCCAAACGAGCTTTTCGAATCCATGCTGAGATTTCGTCAGACACCGACCCATTAAGGCTGATCAGACTTCCAAGATAAGTGAAGTTGTCAACGCGTCGACTACTTCACTCCCTATCCTTAGTTCAGGTGTTGACAGAGGCCAGTCCTGAAGCAACAACTTGCATTTAAATGGAGAGAAGCGCATTCCAAACATTCTGGCATTATTGCTTAGTGCTACCAGAAGACTCTGCATTTTAAAAGCGTCTTCACCAAACAGGACTATATCATCTGCGTATTCTAAGTCGATAAGTGGACCTCCTGGAAGGAGATCAATACCTGAGAATTCAGTCGACGAGAATGTTATTTCCATCAGTAGGTCTATGATGAAGTTAAACAGAAATTGAGAAAGTGGACAGCCTTGAATGATACCACTTGAGGTTGCAAAAACGGATGACAGTTCGCCATAAGCTCTGACTCGACTAGTAGTGTTCGAGTGAAGAGCCTTCACAAGGTTTATGTACCTCTGGGGTACACCTTTCAATGACAGACACTGCCACAGAATCTCGCGGTCTACCGAGTCGAATGCTGCTTTTAAGTCAAGCAAGACTACCATTGTCGGGCGCCGATAAGTATGCCTATGTTCTAGGACCTGACGATTGGTGAATATGTGGTCGATGCAGCCACGACCAGGTCTGAAGCCAGCTTGATTCTCTCGTGTTTGCAGTTCACGAGTCTGATTATTATTGAGGCTAGTATTTTAGATACTATATTTGTTAAACTAATCCCTCTGTGGTTGTCACAGGATGATTTTGACCCTCTCTCATATATTGGGACGATAAGTGATTGTGACCAGTCAGATGGAATAACGTCTAACTCCCAGATCCTAGCTAAAATATTAGTCAATCTAACCGCTAAAATTGAATCACCATCCTTAAAGACTTCTGGAGCCAATCCATCTGGACCAGCTGCTTTTCCTTGTTTCAGATTAACTATAGCCTTTTGAACTTCTGCTAGAGTTGTGGGACCTACTTCAATGTTCCGTTCACACTGTCTGGGAATGGAGGGTAGTTGTAGAGTAGATGAAGGCCAGCTGAACTGTTCTCTGAAATATTCCGCCCATCGTTCTAAACGTCTGCACTGAGAGTAGATGAGGGTGTCATCTTTTTCCGAAATAATCTCACTTACACTTGACTTATTAATTCCAGTTTCTTTTATTAGTCTGTAGAGCTGTCTTGTGTTCCCTATAGCAGCCACCTTTTCCATCTCTTTTGCTTTCGTTGACCACCACTGCTCACGGTCGTCCCTTAGACTTTTGGTTAACCTAGATCTGATTTGTTGTCGCTCTTCATCGTGTTCAGAGCCTGATGGGATGAGTTTATGATGATCCATCAGTGCAATAGACTTTGAGGAAATCCATTGGTTCTTTGTAACCCTGTGGTTTAAATCACCGATAGATGTCACTGCTGTTTCCACAGCTGTTTGTATAGCTTTTCAAACAACATCTGGGTCAACCTCGTTTTCAGAACTACCAAACTGTGACCTCAGTTGTTCCTGGAACCTACTTTTGGTTTCCTCGCTACTCAATTCAGTTCTAATGGGTCTTTTTACTGTGGCTTTTTTGCGTCCAGTGAGACGCAAGGAGATGCGTGCCCGTATTGGGGCGTGGTCGGAAACCAAGCAGGTACCCCAGAATGAGCGACAATCTTCTACCGATCCTTTCCAACGATGACTGATGGCAATATGGTCTATTTGAGTCCATCGTTGGTTTGGTGTAGGGGGTCTCCATGTTAGACGGTGTCTCCTTATGCTTAGAATTTGTGTTTGCTAAAAATAAACGATTGTCTGAGCACAGTTGCAGGAGACGATCACCATCATCTGTTCGCTGAGCCGGAATACTAAGATACCCATTTAAATGTCTTTCTGTTTGGTTTCAGCTACCTACTTGAGCACTTAAGTCACCTCCTACGAGTACTATGTCTGAACGTTTAGCTTTTTGTAAAATTCATCTTTCATTTCATCTGAGCTGCAGTCGGTGGGAGCGTAGGCAGAAACGACGAAAAGGCAACGACGTGTATCCCTATCCTTCTGAGTTCTTACGGAGCCGTTTGGCCGAACAACACATAAACGACTGGTAATGGGGATCCACTCAAACAGTGCTTGTTCCGCCCTCATGCTTAGTGCTAACCCTACTCCTGACGGCCCACGAGAGCTGGCCGTCGGGTCACCAGATACACGGAGGGTGTATCTCGTTGGCTCTCCGTTTTGCCGAGGTGAAGTCAAGTGAATGACCACACTAGGATCCTGTATGCGTTTTTCAGAGACACAACATACATCAATGGTAAGAGACTCTATGGTTTTAGCCAAGGAAGCCTGATGACCGATTTG